GAAACTATTGGTAAACAGCTTGTATTTTTCAACATTGTTCCTTTTTTTCAATGATTTTTTTCCATGTATTCGTTTTTGTTTACCCTTTACGTGTTCGGCACCAATTTTGATTGCTTGAGTTAATCACAGGTGGAGTTTTTCCTAAACCAAACATTTTCTATTTTCACATTCTAAAATTTTTTTTGGGAGGTGGGGGGGAGGGTCAATTAAAAAAAAGGTTGGAGGAAATTTCCAAAACCGAGAAAATTAGTCAGTTTTGGGAAAAAAGCAAAACAAAAGAGTTAAAGTTTTGCCATTTTTGTTTGGGTCAGCTCTGGACCCCAATTTGTACTGCTCAGTTTTACCCCACAGGGTGTGCCTACGTCCTGGTCTGGATTCTGCAATATGGGAATGGATTGCTGAGTGGGGGGCCCTCCGAGAAGAGCAGCATGAGCTAAATAATGATGGAGGGCACAAGAAGTCTAGGACTATCGGAATGCCGTGCACACCAGAGAGGGAGAGGAAATGATTAAGGCCCTTAAACGTGCTGAACTTGAAGCATACAAACAATCCTGTTGAAGTCAATGGGCATATCTATGTGCTAAAAGTTATGCATGTGTAAAAGTGTTTGCAGGATCAGAGCCTAAATCATTCCTCTCCCTCTTTGGTGTCCACAGCATTCAGATAGTCATAGACTTATTAAACCCTCCATCATTGTTTAGTTAATGCTGCTCCTCTTGGCACTCCCTGCAAGCAGCGATGCACTTCCATATTGCATGATCCAGACCAGGATTTCAGCAGACCCTGTGCAGTAAAACACTGGGCCTCATTCTTGGTGTGATATTCAGGGCAATGGAAGGAATCTAAGAAAGGGAGCATTTAGGATGAATATAAGGGGAACTTTCTCAATAGCTATTAGGCTGTGGAACGGTCTCCCCAGGGAAAACGGGGCAGCCGTTTTCCTTTGGGACATTTAAAAACTGGACTGGACAAAAGTAGGGTGACCAGACAGCAAATGTGAAAAATCGGAACAGGGGGCGGGGCGTAATAGGAGACTATATAAGAAAAAGACCCCAAAATTGGGACTGTCCCTATAAAATGGGGACATCTGGTCACCCTAGACAAAAGTTGGGAATCCTGCATTGGAAGGGAAATGACCGAATGAGGCTTTTCCACCTCAAACTCCCATGCGTCTCTGTTGTCGCAAATGGAGCGTGCTGACGTCAGGAAGGGAGGCCCCAGGAGGGATCCGTGAACTCTTCGGGCATGTCTCCGCTGCAGCAAGGAGTCTGGGGCGCCTTGGGTTGGCACGCTCAAACACAGCAGAGTGGATGTTGTGGCCCTGGGTGGAGGCTCAGGCTAGGTAGGGTGGGTCTCAGACCGCGTGGCTCGCCTGAGCCTCTGCCGGTGCCATAATGGCCACACAGCTATTATGTAGCATGCTCGCGCGAGCCCTGCTAACCCAAGGCCGTCTCCCCGGGCTGGGCGGCTCGCTCCCTGCCGCAGTGGAGACGTACCCTGGAGGAACCACGCTCCCGTCTGTAATGGAAAGCCTGACTCTGCTGGGGAAGAGGAGAGAGAGCAGAAGGCGGCAGGTATGGATGAAATGGTTCCGACGTTCATTCCAAACCAAGGCTGAGCCCTGCCATCCTCCCGGCCGCCCGGGGGCAGATGGGATGGACGGAGCTGCAGTGCTGGGCCGCCCCTACAGCTGCCATTGCTCTCTTCATCCCCGAGCCTCCATGTGACTGGGGCTCAGTGGCTTTTCATGGGGTTGCGCAGGGCGGAGTCAGGAGAGAGCCACGTTACATAGCAATCCCAGCAGCTTTAACCCAGGGGAGCTGGGAACCCATAGCCGTATAAGGCCTTAGCGAGACTTACAGCCAGGGAGCAAGGAGTGAAGGGGAAGAGGTAGACAACCCCGCCCTGCAAATGCCCTGGGACCGGCAGGCTTGGGACACAAGTTCTCCTGGATCACACTGTTGGGAAGCCATGGGAGTTACAGGTTCTCAGGATCATGGCCCACGTTTTCCTCTCATATGGATTTTCTACAGAGGGGGAAGGGCCTCAGGCCAGGGCAATGCTATGGTTAAGAATTTAAACGCAAACCAGAGAGGATAGTCAAAGTTATAGTTTCTTCCTAATGTCATCCCCTTGTCTACATGTCATACTCTGGGCTCCTGGACACTGAACTGCTGGAATATACAGACACAAGAGTGCGGGAGAAATGCTTCGTGTGGGAATCCCGGACCAGCTTCTCAGCTGATGCAAGTTGGGGTACTTCCAGTGACTTCAGCTGAGCTCTGCCCATGTGCAGCAGCTGAGGAGCTGACAGCAAAACCGGAGCTAGCTTGGGCGTGATTTCCCGCTCCGTTCCTCCAGTTTTACACCACTGGAATCAGCAGATTTAAACTGGAATAACGTAGCCGTGAATCAGGCAACCTGCGTATTTCAACCCTCAACCAGAATGGTGCTTTTGCAGTGAATGTCCTGTATTGAAACAATAAAACTGGTGATCGCATAGCGAAATAAAACCGTATGTGAGCGTATTTTAAAGCGTGATCATCAGAAAAGATCAGACTTTGAAGTAAACACTATGGCCCAGATCCTCAAAGGTATTTAGGCATCTAACTCTCTGTGGATGCCAATGGGAATTAGGCACCTAAATACCTTTGAGGATCTGGACCTATCTCTGTTTCAAGTAGGTGCTCTCTTTCTAGGTACATTGGCCCTGATCCAGCTAACCCTTCCATACAAGTGGATGTCTGCATCCCATGGGGAGCCTATTGACTTCAACGGGGCTCTGCATGGGTCCACCGGTCCATCCACATGGAGGCCTGTGATGATGTCTGCCTCTCTTACTGTTGTATGGAATGATGACCGGGGACGTTTTACACTGCAGTGAATCGCTGATGCTCTCCCATGGACCACCAGCAACCCAGGTCAGCTGGCTTAATATTGCTATTTGGTGCTGCTGAGTGCTAAGATACTGATCTACGGAAGAGTCAGGGTTGCCAACTCTTGGGATATTTGGTGCTTTTCCTTAAAGCCCCAGCTCCAGGAGTCACGTGAAGACATCCAAAATCACAGATTTCATTGGAAAAAGTAAGTTTCTGGCCCATGTGGTTGCAGAGAAAACCTTGAAAACGTGACCCCCAACGGCTCATAAAAAGAACCCCACATGTATTATTTTTTCTCAAATCTCATGACATTTTAGCCAATCTCATGACTGGAGGGGGCAGCTTGATCCGGGATTCTTTGAACGCTAGGGGTTGGCAGCACCAGGGCCCTTACTCCTGCATTGCCTCTGGAGGACCCCTTTACACACACGCACCGCTCCCTGCTGAGGGCGGTGTCATGGGACCTGCAGGACCTCATAGTCGTCTGTATTGACTTCTGTCTTGACCACGATGATGGGCCCGTTGTGCACACCTGTCTCCGGCAGCCCGTCTGCATCCTGCTCCTCTGCCAAGTCTTTCCCCTCCCGCTTTCTCAGATGGTTCCTCTGGTGCCTTTTAAAATGCCCCAAGGTGGTGTAGCTCTGCCCACACTCAGAGCAGATGAAGGGGCCCCTCCGGGTGTGGGTGAGCTGGTGTTTCATGAGGTTGGCTTTCTGGGAGAAGCTTTTCCCGCACTCGGTGCATTTGAAAGGCACCTCTCCCGTGTGGATTCTCTGGTGGGTGATCAGGATCTCTTTCCGCTTGAAATCTTTTCCGCAGGTGTTGCATTTAAAGGGCCGGTCCTCCGCGTGGGAGGGCTGATGCAGGAGCAGCTGGGCCTTGTCAGGGAAGACCTGGCCGCACTTGCTGCACCTGTTGGGTTCGTACTTGGTGTGAACCCGCTGGTGGGTGATGAGGGCTATCTCCTTGCGGAAACCCCGGCCGCACACGTTGCAGGGGAAGGGCCACTCCTCACCTGGCTCGGCCTTGCCCGCGTCGTTCTCCCCGTGCTCGGAGTATTTGTTGGGCTCCCGGGCGGCCTCGTGCTCCCTCATGTGGACTCTCTGGTGGGTGGTCAGGGCGATTTTCTGGGTGAAGGCCCTCCCACAGGCCGTGCACTTGAAGGGCCGCTCGCCGGTGTGGATCCGGCGGTGGACGATGAGCCGGGACTTGTCGATGAAGCCCTTGTGGCAGTCAGTGCAGCGGAAGGGGCGTTCCCCGGTGTGGATGCGCTGGTGCACCACCAGCTGGGCTTTCTGCGTGAAGCTCTTCCCACACTCGCCGCACTTGAAGGGCCTCTCGGTGGTGTGGAGCCGCTGGTGGCTGGCCAGGTTCTCCTTGGTGCCAAAGCCTCTGCCGCACTGGGGGCATTTATGCTCCTTCCCCCCCCGAGACCTCCCCACTCCGGACGGCCTCTCTCGTGGACTCGGTGATGCTTAATGAGGGCGATCTTCTGGCGGAAGCCCTTGCCGCAGGCGGCGCACTGGAAGGGCCGGTCGCCGGTGTGGATACGCCGGTGCACCGTCAGCCGGGACTTGTCGATGAAGCGCTTGCCGCAGTCGGCGCAGGGGTAGGGCTTCTCGCCGGTGTGGATGCGCTGGTGGGTGACCAGCTGGGTGCGCTGGGTGAAGCGCTTGCCGCAGTCGCCGCAGACATACGGCCTCTCGCCTGTGTGGATCCGCTCGTGCTTGGTCAGCTCCCCCCTCTTGGTGAACTTCTTGCCGCAGACGCCACACCGGTGCGCCCGTTCCTCCGTGTGGGCCCGCTGGTGGTTGGCAAAGTTCCCTTTCTTGGTGAACATCTTGCCACACTGGGTGCAGGTATAGACCTGGCTCTTACGAGGCGCCGTCAGGTCCCCCGGATGGCTGCTGCCTTTGCCATTTTTGGCAGGCAGCCTCTCGTCTGCCGCCTCACCAGGGCTCCCCTCAGTGGCGGCCACGCTCCCATCTCCCTTCTCCCTCTCATGGACTCTCTGGTGCGCCATGAGGCCTACCTTCTGGCTAAAGCTTCTCCCACACTCAGGACACGTGTGGGGTCCCTCGCTCTGGTGCTGGCACCGCTGGTGCCTCAGCAGCTGCCCCTTGCTGCTGAAGCCGTCCCCGCACTCGACACAGACGTGGGCCTCCCCCCTGGCGTGGGTCCTCTGATGGCGGATCAGGTGGATCTTCTGCCGGAAGCGCTTCCCGCACTCGGCGCAATGGTAGGGTTCCTCCCCGGTGTGGATCCTCTGGTGGGTCACCAGGATCGACTTCTTCTTGAACTCCTTTCCACACGTGCCGCATCGGAATATCTTCTCCCCGTCCGGCGTCGACTCGGGAACGATGAGCCGCGAGGCGTTGCCAGTATAGGGCCCGCCATGCCGCCGCGCCCCCTCCCCGGTGTGGACCCTCTGGTGTTTAATGAGGGTGATCTTCTGGCGGAAACCCCTGGCGCACAACCCGCACTTGAAGGGGCGGTCACCTGTGTGGATACGGTGGTGGGCGACGAGCTGCGACTTGTCCACAAAGCTCTTCTGGCAGCTGCCGCACTTGTAGGGCTTCTCGCCAGTGTGGATCCTCCGGTGAACTATGAGCTGTGACTTCTGCGTGAAGCATTTCCCGCACTCGGAGCACTGGTAAGGTCGCTCCCCGGTGTGGATCCTCTGGTGCTCCTTCAGTTGCGATTTGGTGATGAACCTCTTCCCGCACTCCGTGCACGGGAAAGGCCTCTCCCCTGTGTGGGTCCTGAGGTGCTTGGTGAGGTCCACCTTCATCTTGAAGCTCTTCTCACAGTCGGTGCAAGAGTAGGGCTTTGCTTTCTGCAAGGATTCCTTCGGCACCAAGAGATCTCCCTGCTGGTTCACGCCTTCATGGCTGGCCTCCTCTGCCCTTCTGCTGGCTTGCTGGCTTGTTTGCTTTCCTGCTGTGACGGCACTTCCCTCCTGCTCCTTGTTCTCCACCAGCATCTCCTCCTTGTGGGTCTTCTGGTGCGTGGCTAGGACGCCCTTGTGATTAAAGCTGTCCCCGCAGATCGTGCAAGTGTACATCTTCTCCCGGGGTTGCTTGAGAAGAGTTTCCACTTCCACCTTAATAACCGTCAGCTTCTCCATCGTCCAGTTTCTCGGGGCTGAGCTGGCAGGAAGCTCACGCACAAGAAGAGCGATCATCTGGGGTCTTTGTTGCCATGTCCTCCAATTTTCTTGGCCTGCCGAGGCTCAGGGAAGCTTCTGAGCCTACAAAGGCGCTGATGCCAGTTTTCATGACTCCCCTTTGGGCAGTAATTCTTATTTCCCTTCATCTGCTGGGTTCAAAAATAAAAAGACAGTCAGGCTTTATTTCAAAGGCCAACGAGGAAGGAAAACTCCTATTTATAGCAAGATCCAATGGCTGGAAGTGGAACCTAGTCAAATTCAGATTGGAAATGAGACACATATTTAACAGTGAGGGTAATGAACTACTGGAATAATTTACCAAGGGTCATGGTGGATTCTCCATCACAGGTAATTGTTAAATCAAGACTGGATGTTTTTCTAAAAGCTCTGGTCTAGTTCACACAGGAATTCAGGGAAGTCCTATGGCCTGTGTTGTACCAGGGGGGCTGGGATGCAGGG